CCGGTCTCATGTATAACTAGGGTAACTTCTAAGTCATTGATCTATTGTGAGAATTTATGGCAGAAGATACAAATGAGACACCCAAAATGAAAAACGGAGTGCTACCATTCGAACTCATGTACAAACCATCCCACTTCCCAGGAGGATCCGAAATTTAACCCCACATTTGAGCTTTTATTCTTCTGTCAGGTACATTTTAACCACTAGAGGGAGTCCGAAACAAAGGAATCCAAGTTCCCAGCACACCAAGATTGACTTGGCAGTGGGTGTGGGTGGAGAACTGGACCCTATCCCTGGCTTCTCAATTGCAGGGTTGTGGCATGGCTGCAGGTGTGCACTCTGGCCCTTTTCTTCCTTTCTGGGTTCCTTCCAAGTAGAGGAATGAGGCACACGCAGGTGAGACCCATGTTAGATTGTTCACTACAGATTAGTAAATAACCCTGCTTCTCAGGTAATCCACCCCAGCCCTGGGCAACATACCACCACCTGGAGCCTAGCAACTAGCCAGGTGTGACGTCCATGCAATGGGGGTTAGATTGGGTTTGGGCATCTGGGCATTTTGAATATAGACCATAGTTGTTTTCATCAACTCCTTGAAATAGTGTCAGGCTAGGTAGACTAGCAAGGCTTGAGAACCTAAGGCAGTGGGCAGTTGCATGAGGGAGGGGGAAGTGCCGTATTTGATGAACACCTTTTGAGCATGGCATCCACCAGGCACTGGGGAAACCCAAGCACAGCCTTAAGGGGTGAGGGGGTTAGCCTCTGCTAGTCATAACTTAATAGCCTAGTGGTTTCTTTGGTTTTTTAGCTTAGTGGTTTCATAGGATTCTCCTAACACCTTTATTTTCATCTTCTCCACTTCTATCAAGCAAGGATTTTTGTTAGAGACGTTAGGCTGAAGGGCAGAGACACGGAGTCATCTACCCAAAGGCAGCTAGCTAGCTAGCAGCTCTCTGGGGCCAGGTTGAGTGGAGAAGCCACAGCAGCAGCTCTGAGGGGCCCCAGCAGGGACAGCCAGGCAGGCAGGGGCACAGCCCTCCCATCAGCTGCCAGCAGCACTGGCACTAGACCAACACTCTTCCCAGCCCTTCAGGGTCAGCTCTGCTGCCAGCCCGCCTCCGCACTCCCACCCCAGTCCCCAGAGAGCCCATCACCCTGGCAACAGCCCGAGAAAGCCCCAGCTAAAATATTTATGGCTCCAAACAGTTCAGAGGCTTGGGAGGGGAGGAAGAAGGCAGGTTGGTGTCATCCTTTGTGTGTGCTGAGGAAGTGACTGACAGGCAGGCAGATGGGTGGGCCAGAGCTGTCTGAGGAGGAAGATCCCTGGGGGCTGAAGTGGTAACGGGCAGAAAGGAAGCCTGTTGGTGAGACTCGATGACAGGCCTGGTGAAGAGGAGGAAGGAAACGCTAATGTTGAGCAGAATGACTAGACCCCGTTCCAGGCACCACACACTCCATCCGCTTTCAGACCCCACTCAGTGGGCACGGATTGCTACTCCACTTTGCTGTGTAAACAGGCCCAGAAAATACATACCAAGTGATGGGCTACATTTCCTGTAAGATTCTATTATTTTCATGTAGTTATCCTGCCCAGGGACCTAGCACTGGCTTCCCAAACTGGACCTTACCAGGTGGGGCAAGAGGTAGGCTGAGTTCCTACGAACCTATAACCATGACTCCCTAGCTCCCCTCCCTTGCTGGATGAAAGCAGGTCTTTAAATGCAAGGGAGGTAACTCTGGCCACAAGGCAAGGCCTAGGCCTAGGCCACCAGAGGCAAGGAAAACAGCCTTAGTGGGCAGCCTTGGACTGAGAGCCTCCAGTGACAAACAGGTTGACAAACCCATCCCAGTGTGCCTGGGGCTTTCTCGGTTTTAGCATTACATGGCCTGCATCTTGAGAACCTTCCTGGTCTTGGTTAAACCCGATACTTTGTCACCTACTGTGTCACAGTCAGGGAGCTGAGTAGTGTAGTGGTTACATGTTCAGGTGCCATCTTCAAGGTTAGCCAATTGGAACTACCTGCTGCCCCACAGGAGAAACAGGGCATTCTACTCCTGTAAACAGTCTAGGAAACTCAAAGGTAGTTCTACCCTCGTCTAAAGAGTTGCTATAGTCAGCATTGATTCCATGGCAGTGAGTTCTTTGTGTCACACACAAAATGCTTTACTGTTTCAAAGTCGAAATACTTATACAGAGGGCCACCATAGGGATTATAAAGTCTGACAGACCTTTTTCTAATCTCACACAAATTACTCATTTCCCTTGGGCCTCGATACTTTATATGCAATAGGAAAAATGGATTAGAGGATTAAATCAAACAGTACAAATGCCAAAAAGTCGTAGAATGATTGATGGGGTTTGATTACGTGCAGTGTAGCCGAAAGTACTGAGAGTCAAATGAAGGTCGAACATGATAATGGGACATGGCCAAACCAGAATTTCAGTTAATTGTGCTGCAATTAGTCCTCAGTGACTGAAGTTCTGTATTGCTTGGACCCTTCTTCCTATGTACCTTTGGATAGATTTGAACTGTCGACCACTAAGTTAGTAGTTGAGGCTTAACCATTTGTACCACCCAGGAATTCCAGGTACATACCAAAATCCAACTCATTGTCAAGTCAGTAGTTCAAACCCACCCATCACTGTGCAGGAGACAGATGAGGCTATCTGCTAATGTAAATATTTGTAGTCTTGAAAACCCTAAGGAGTAATTATCTCGGATTTAGAGGGTCTCTGAAAGTCAGAACCAACTCCACGGCAGTGATTTTGTGTGCTCTCCCCCGCCCCCCCCACCTTGCCCCCATTATGTCCTCTGCTACTGCTAAGAAAGAAGTTTAATACAATGCCTCATGTACAACAAAATGTATAAAACTCAAGCCTTTTCCCTGTTAGACTAAATAACCAGAGGCATTCAGAAGTGTAG